AGGGCTGGGGCAGCGTGTGGCTGGCTGGAACCCCGCACCCCTATCCCCACAGTGCCCTCCTGCTGGTCTCCGTGCATCGCCTAAGGGCAGTGAGACTCTTCACTGATTCTCACCTGGAGGAAGCCAGCAGCCTGACAGGGACCTGAGAGCCCCTGCCCCTTCGCCTTGCCCTCTCTGGCATCACCTATTGAGTTCCAATTGCACACCAGGCTCTGCCTCCTGCTTTCTAGGCAGTGCCGGGCACCGGCACCGGCCGGTTACATGTCTGTAACCCTAGCTACCCAGGAGGCTGAGATCTGAGGATCACGGTTCAAAGCCAGCCCAGGCAGGAAAGGCCGTGACACTCTTATCTCCAAAAAAACACTAGAAAACCAGAAGTGGCGCTGTGGCTCAAGTGGTAGAGCACTCTCCTTCAGCTGAAGAGCTAAGGGACAGTGCCCAGGCCCAGAGTTCAAGCCCCACGACCAACAAAATAAAAAAAAAAAGAAAAGAAAAAAAGAAAAATGTGTTTTCATTAGAGCACTGTCTTAAATACCGACAAGAAAGTCTTGTGATAAAGAGTCTGGAATAAAGATGAGCCCCACCTGTACACTGTGTGAAACGGCAGCGGAAGCGCTTTCTAAGTGTTGTGCTCAAGGAATTTGAAAACTGTTGCTCTCAGAGGTGCTCCTGTGACGGTCTCCAAGCAGACCCCCATAATTCAGCAGCGTGTCAGCCTGCAGTTGTGTGCTAAGCACAGTAGTTCAAGAATGTTGAGAAACGTTTCTGGGCATCTTAGACAAATCCCTTTACAAGCCTTCCTGACCCAAGTGTCAGCTGAGCGTGGAGCCTGCCGAGGTAGATGTGGAGCTGGACCTGGCTGGTTGCATCCTATTGATTTAATAGGGAATCTCCATGACCTACCGCGCAGTGTCCACTTGGCAAACCAGGAGAACGTCAACAGGGTTAGGAGGGGGCCACACGCTAGAGAGCCGCTCACACGGGACCACAGAAGACAGGGCACAGGAAGCACGGAGGAATCGAGGCAGTTCCTGAGCACAGAACATACAAGGACAGGGCCGACATTCCAATGCAAGGTGTTTATTCGTGGTAAAGGCTAGCTTTCCCAAATCATCATTGTTCCCACGAGGGCGGTCAGTGCCTACAGATGATTTGACTCATGCATTCACCATCTCCCAGTGGCAAACATTTTCTTCCTCTGTATTGTGGCACATGCAATTTGCTCTTTCTCGTTGTGAGCATTACAGAGCAGTACAACTCTGGGGGAAAAACACATACTCAAATGACAGTATAATTGCAGTGAAGATGTGAACATTTTCAAGAACCCATGACATTTAAGCAGCTTCCGCCATCACGGTAAGGGCTCCCCCATCATCCAGGGGACAAAAATTCACATTGGTAGTGAAGGCAGGCAAGAATGAAATCAAACACACAGGGTACAGCAGCTTCTACTTCAGCTTCACGTCCTTGCCAGCGATTGCTCAAGATCTAGAGATACACATGACTATCAAGCAAGACCATTTAAATTCTGCCAGAGCAGCAGGGTGTGCAGCCCAGGGCTGGATTTCCCATGACTTATTGCTTTCCCCACACAGGAGGATGACCTTGCACTTGACCTCCTCAGTTCACTCTGGTATTTGTCCAGCTCTGTTACAACCTTGTCATCCAATCTTGCTTGCTTCCCTTTGGATTGACACTTTGTGCAAATATTGTGCACTGATTATGTCTGTTTGCCTGCATACTTTGCTCCTCTGTTTCTCCTGGAACTAAGCTAATATCATTTATTGCTTTCCTGAATGTCAACACCCAACACCATTGGTTTGGCCTTTCCAGTTCATTGGCCACATGTTGTGGGTCAGATGGACCATGGGGTTCAATAACACTCAATATTATATGAACCGGAGGTTGCAAAAAATTAGAAAAATAAGGCAAAGCAGCATAAAACCAAGGAACAGAGCTGCTATTATTTTAGAGACTCAAGACAACTTTTCAAGTTCTGTCTGATTACCTAGGTTGAGCTCGGAGCCCCTCACTTGAAACTTCCGGGAGTCAGTGAAGCAGAGCCTGTGCTCTTGGTGCCCACAAGCTTTTGGTGTAGCATGGACCACCCAGTGTGCGCTCTGCTCTGTGCTGCAGCAGCCCGAGGGGAGAGGGGAGTGTGCACTCTGGTGTGGGTCACACGAACTACCTAATGGACCACCTCGTGCAAGAAGCGGCACAAAGGGTCAGGACGCCACACAAGAGGACAAGGGCCTTGGTGTGTCCCAGTCAACTTGGGACCAGCCATGTGGCAGCCCTGGCCTGCCTGCCTGCCTGCCTGCCTGCCTTCCCATCCTTCCTTCCTTCCTTCCTTCCTTCCTCCCTTCCTTCCTTCCTTCCTTCCTCCTTCCTCCTTCCTTCCTTCCTTCACTGCAGAGGGCATCAGGTTTGGCCAAGAGGCCTCTGGAAGCCACAGCTGCACCCTCTTTGCAGGCAGGATGCAAGTTCTGCTTCCTCAGAAAGCACCTTCTTTAGACTTCTGCACGGTGAATAACAAATGCTGCAACATTTGTTGCAGGTCCTCCAGACCTGCCATGCTGTCACAGTGGGCTGTGAACTGCTGTCCTCAGATCTGTGAATCCTGGGAGATGTTTAGTGCCAGCCAAGGAGCTGCCAGCCCTGCCACCCCGCCCACTCCCTCCCCCCACCCCCCGCAGGGCCAGTGAGCATGCAGACCATGTCTTGGATGGGGACACAGTCCTCAGCCTCTCCTCCATTTCTACCTGTCCTTCTTCCCCTTGCCCAGCTGTGGTTCAAACCTTCCTGCAGGAAACCTTCCTGCTTAGGTATCCGGAAGCATCTGCCTTGCAATGGCTGTGATTTCTGCAATGCCATTTGTGTTTAGTTTCCCTGTGGCTAGTCCCCGGTGTCATCTTTATTTGAGTTAGAAGATGATGTGTCTTACACGTCTGTTTTCCCTGATTTTAAGAAGAGCATGCTGACTGAGTGGAGACAGTCAATATGGTGGGCTGACTTAATGTACATGTACAATTGCATTTTAATCACGATGCTTGTTAGCTTGAAGCAGGCATCCAAGTGCGTTCCAATTTAAGCCCCTTCTTGTAATATAAATTTCCCGAGGCTATGACAATCACATGCCAAGTTCATACAACAAGGTTGCAACCCAGAAAACAGGCTCAGGCAGGAAACTCGGCCACCAGAACCACAGGAACATAGAGAGGTTTTCTTTTTTTTTGATTTGTTTTGTTTTTTTCTGACTCTCTTTCAAGTTTGGGTCTTTTACACCGGCCCAAAGACTTTTTGCTGAAAACATACGACTACATTTTGTTCTTAAGCCCAAAACTTCAGGCCTAAACCCTGACTTAATTGGGTAATGGATTTGGCAATTGTCAGTCTTTCTCTTTGTGGGTGAGACTAAGGGCCGTGATGGGGTCTTCAGACATCATTCTCAATCTTCTGAAAGTTAGCTGAGGATTCCCGATGGCTGCCACAGGCTAAGATAGCCAGAGCAAAGCTGGTTAGTTGGCAAGGCTGCAGATTTTGCACGGGGAGAGGCAATGAATTTGCAATTTTTGTCCCTTTGGCTCTGTGGCCCGTGGCTTGGTTCAAATTCTGAGTGGAGATGGTGACCGTGAGCTGTGGCACCCCTGTCAGCTTTGGCTCATTGTCTCTCAGGAGTAATAGATTTCTTAGCCAGTGTGAGCCCAGGCCACCGGCCAGCCCGGGAGCCAGCCTCTTTTCACCCTGGGCTCCACAGTGAGCATCTACTTCTCTGGGGTGGAAGAGGTTAATGGCCAAAGTGTGGACACCAGGATGTGTCCATCAGGACCAGGGGCAGTGGACATGGGGTGCATTGATGGCCAGCTTATATGGGACTGCCATGTATGGGACTGTCAGAGAGGGGGCATGGGTTGGAGAGAATCCTGTTCTAAAGCATTTCCTACTGCTTCTAAATTTGGAATTCTTAGCTATTTAAGTGGGGGAAAAGCTACTTTTTGTGCTAAAAATGCAATTACTTCCATAAGTTTCTAGCAATCCTAATGGAAATGTCATGCAAAATGAATCGAATTCCAGGTGCAAGAAAAGCCTGGAACTGGGCCGGGTGGCTGTGGACGGTCACTGTCACATTCAAGTGACAGACACCAGGTCTTCTGGCGGTCCCTCCTGGGCAGACCATCCCCAAACAGGTTCTTCACTCAGCCAATGAACAAAGAATGCAGTGATTCTGCTTTGGGTACGTTTTCCCTAAAATATTTCAATTTCATAGTAGACGAGGAATGTTCCAGCTTGTCTCAAGGCTGTCTCTAGGAAGAGTTTCTGCCCTGCGCCCTCAATGCCACAGTTGAAGAAATTCTATGACCACCACCAACTCTGGGGTCCAAAGACCATGTGCGGAGGGCCAGCTTCTGGAGCGGAGAATTCCACCTCGGGGATCAGATGAATGTGTGCTGCAAGCACACAGTCCTTGGGTTTCCTGCCTCACATTGCTTACAGGGAACCTGAGCCGGCCAGCCAGGCACCGTCAGCCGACTGTTCTAGCCAACAATTGCATTGTGTATCTGGGTCAAACGAGAAAGTGATAAGAAATTAAAGCCTGAAGGAAGGGGAGATTTGGGAGATCTCCAGCCACGCTGGGAGGAGCTGAGCTGGGCTGCTATGAACCCCAGAACAAGTAGGAGTCCCCCCTGCCCAGGGAACGGTACATGGGTGGGCAGAAAGCCCGCTCTTCCTTCCCCACTGGCCACCTCTGAGTTTGGCTGTCTACCCTTCGTGCATCCAGGCAGATTCTCGTCGGCTTTCCGGCAGCGTCTCTGACCATTTTAATCAACTGGATTTTTGCAAAGACCTTGGGTGCCTGGCTCATTTCCTGCCCGTGGATTGCGGCTGCAGAAGCCCATGGATGAGGGCTGCAGTGTTTTCAATATTAAAATTCTATAAAACCGAGGAACTACTTTTGGTGCAAGGCCAGCCCACAATGATTGGATGCTCCAGGCAATGCGTCAGGTATGCATGATTTTATTTAAAATGTGTCCAATAAGATTTTTTTCCCACTTGGAATGAACATTTTACCTCTTTCTGTATGTTATTATAAACAGCATTTCCTCATTTCATGGAGTTTCTCAGAAAGGTCTAGGTAACTTAACAGAAGAGAAAAATGACACAGTGGAGAGATTAAATAACAGGAATTGTACACAGTGAGGGTGCTCATATCTCGACCTCGGGGCACACAAGAGACTACTGGGTGAAGAAACAGACCCGGTCATGCAAATCCTCGTAGGGTCACTTGGTGTCCTTGGCAGTTCTGGTGTTCCCTGTCACTAAGCACAGGTGATGAGTCAGATGACCGCAGTGAATGGGAAATTGTCTTTTGCTTTGGATGGTTGAGAGAAGGCAGGGACACAAATGCGCCATCGTGGGATCATTTCCTACTCTCTGAAGTTTTTTCTCCTCTGATCCCGTGGGGACATCCTGTCCCCCCCACACCCCTGGGGCCTCTGCACCCCCTGAATCTCATCGAATGGCACTGAGTTAGCTGAGAACAGCAGCACACCACAAAATCAGCACGAGAGAGCACGGTTTGACCGAGCGGGCAGTTGTCAATTTGAAATCGCTAGGATCTGGCAATGTTAGATCTGTGTTTTCATGAGCCAAAGTGCAGAGCACAACTGAAGTCTAAATGTCATCCTAGCAGACCCCAGGCCACGGGAAGAAAGACATGTCTTCAAGTGACATTGACCTGCCAGGAAGAGAAACAGACACCGAGCACAGCACATGGGGACCAGCGGTGCCCAGGATGCACAGCGCTCTCAGGAGATCTGGACGGCGCCAGGGCACGGCGATGGAGCAAGCAGGGGTTGTGAGATTCCCGCCGACTCGCTGGAGCTGCTGTCGTGGAGAGAAGCGAAGGGCAACGGGGCAGGGTGGGTGGAGGGTGGGCGGCTGGGAACCGCACCCTGGCCACACCTGTTCTAGAGATGATCGATCACCTAGCATGGAAATCCAATCCGGACCCGGACCGCGCGTGCGTCCTCGTTCTCTCTGTAAACACATCGGTTCATAAATAACTTAAAGGTGTCCTTTGCATTCAGGACGCAGTTCTGGCTGGAGTAGAAAAGGATGGAGGGTGAGCGGCATGGAGGAGGTGGCTGGGTGTGGATGTGTGGACGGGCGGCTCGCCGGCAGGCTGGGGGCTCCTCAGCCATCGGACACGGGCGGGGTGACCCAGCCGTATTTTTCGTGAGTCTTCACCAAACTCTTAAAGGTAGCTTCGGCTTCCTTGCGACTGAAGGATTTTTTTGACTTGCCGGCTTTTCTGCAGATCCGTCCCTGTGTGAGAGGAGAGGAGAGCCCAGGTTACATGGTTAGCAGTGATCCTGGCCTCCACCGTGAGTGTGTCAGACACCTAACAGGGTGGGGGTTTCTGATGTCTGCCCAGGGTGGTGCTGGCCACCATCAAGGAGAAGACAACAGAGGACGCAGCAGCCCTGGGACAGAGTATCTGGAGGAGCCAGGGGCTAGCAAACCTACAGGGTTCCGAGGCCCTCTTCCAAACCCACAGCCTCGGCTTGATCTGAACTTGCTCGTTCTGTGTGACTGGAGGATGGGCTCTGCCCCGCTCGGAGGTAACCAGGGCAAGCTCAGCTCAAAGAAAAGACCATTGACTCCCAGCCAGCGGGCTCTCCCTGGGGCCACACAGCCTCCGGATTTCCTCAGTGAGAGAGGAAGTTCCTCCACCCAATACCGTTCAACTTCTAAGATCTCTTTTAGAGCTGCAGCGGTCAATACATTTATCTATAGTGTGGAAGGCTTAGATAAAGCCAAGCCAAGCCTGGGAGCGATTAGTGAGCGCCTGGAACACACCTCAGTTCACAGCCCTTACGTGGACCCCGTACTCTTGGAGGCTGAGCGGGACTGGTGTATGCTACGGCTGCCATGGTGCCAGCCCTGTACCTTAGTGAGAACCAAACCTCCCACCACAGGAGGAGTAGCTGGGGACAGGCATCGTCAGGGAGTGGCCACCAGCTGGCCTGGCTTCTGAACCAGCAGCAAAGAGCAGCCAGCACTGGCAATCTGGGCATGAATTCTGCTTCCCTTCCAATACTTGTCTTCTCGCCTGTGGGCATGAGAGTGTCTCCTAGCAGGAGAGGTGGAAGTTGAGGAAGAGTGCAGTGATTTCCTTCTAGCCTGCTCTCCTCTCCCTTCCCTCCCTTTTCCTTCTTCTTTTTTTTTTTTTTCTTGTGGCACTAAGGGTGAAGTCAGGGCTTGCTCTTGCTAGGAGGTCAGGCCAGCACTGGGCGATACCTCCAGCTCTTTTCTGTGCTGTTTTTCAGATAGGGTCTCACTTCCTGCCTGGACTGCAATCCACCTGTTTCAAGCTCCCTGTCGTGATTGAGATGTGCCACCATGCCAGGTTCTTTCTGTTGGGGACAGTTTCTTGAACTTTTTCCTCCCAGGCCTGGCCTGAACCATGATCCTCCTGATCTCAGCTGGTATTTGGCTCTGAGACAGCCTTTCTAAAGGCGGCTGTGTTTATGAGCTGCTTACAGGGAGAAAAGACAAGAAGTGGCCATGTACTGACCTCTAGAAACGCGCCTACATCTCTCCAGGTTATGCTCCCCATTTTTATTTTTATTCATTTATTCATTTATTTTTTGGGTCTGGTCGTGGGGCCTGAACTCTGGGCCTGGGCGCTGTCCCTCAGCTCTTCAGCTCAAGGCTAGCACTCTACCACTGGAGCCACAGCAGCACTTCCTGCTTTTTCTGTTTATGTGGTGCTGAGGACTCGAACCCAGGGCCTCTTGCATGCAAGGCAAGCACTCTACCACTGAGCCACCTTCCCAGCCCCGATCCCCATTTCTATTATAACTGGATACTCTGGTGATGTGGTGTAGTGATGCGCGATGGAAGGGGAACACCAGGAGCCAGTACCTCCATCATCGCAGTCTTGGCTGAGAGCAGTGTCTAAAGCTAAGTCGCTGGACCGAGCAAAGGTATCTGCAGCAGGGACTGGGCATTGATTTAGATATCCATTGAGAGTAGCTACCAAAGGCCATGTTTTTGAAAAAAAATGCATATTTTAACCATCTCGGTTATTCTTGTTGACAATACTGAAGATTTATGGTACGATTTGAGAATTCTGATTGAAAGACAAATGCAGGCTCACAGAAATCTTCACTTTGCCTGATCTTTGTGAATGTCCCAATTGTTACAAGAAATAGCAAACACCACCCCAGTGAAACAAACTGCCCTTTGTGGCCCTCTCTTCCCTAGAGGCATCATGAACTTGGAGGTCAGGGCAGAGTCAATTCAACTGGCAGAAGACAGAGCCTGCTAGATGCTGGCCAGCCCCACTTTCCCGAGACTCAGCTGTCAATGAGAGCCCTCAGCCCCGGTCGTCCACCCACACTTGCTCTCAACAGATGCTTTTCAGAGAGGTCCCTCCTCCTCTGATTGGCCACTGCAGGTCCCAAGGGAAACACATGTCCGGTTCTTGCTGGAGAACCCCACAGTGCCACTCCCACGGAAGGTGTGGCTGGGGCACCACCTCCTTCCTTCTAGGGTACAGGGTCTCCAGACTTGGACTTTCGGGGATTGGTGTGTGGGGCAGCACGGCTAGTGTAAGGAAGTGAGCCTGTGAACACTGAGCATGTTGAACACACACAACGAATTACAAACCAGTTTCCTTATTTTCCTAGCAACTTCCTCCCTCTGTTTCCATCTAGCAAACAATTAGAGGCTAGTCTGAAATATTTCCTTTAGATAACTCATTTCTTCTTGACAGTCACTACTTGTGCTTAATGCGAAAAGACACAGATGTGACAATCTGTCACCCACAGCAAGAGCTTTGTGTCACCACTGGAGCTGAGGATACCTGTGATCTGTCCCTGAGCCAGGTACCGGGCACACCACAACCCAACTTAACCAGCTCATCTAGTCCCTGACACGGGGCATGCAGCTTCTAGGCCAGCCCCTGCCTAACAAAACTGTAAGTGCTCCTCAGAATGACCTCCGACCAGAGTCCAGGGGTGACGTAGAAGGTGGCTTTCCACTGACTGGAGAGAGTGAGACCATGGGTAAGACTGGAGAATTATTAGCTCTGTGGGGAGGGCTTCTACCTGGATGGACTTTATGCCCGGCCTCCGGACTCCAGCCTGCAGCAATCAGTGCTGAAGATTGGCGGGGGTAGGGGGGGGTGGGGGGGTGGGATGGGATAGGGGTGGGGGGTGGGGGTGGGGGTGGGTGGGTGGGGAGGCAGATTGGCCAGGACACAGGGAAGTAGGACGTGTGCCATTTCTGATAGCACCTGGGTCAGCCCCAGGGAGAACAGTTACTCCACAAGTGTGGGATTATGTAGGTAATCCCTGAACTTTACAAATTCTTCCTGTCCTTGTTTTTCCAGCAATCTCTGAAGAATCATAACAACAACAACAAACCTAGCAGGCTCAGAGAGACAAACAACGTAGGTTTTCTCCCATATGTGGAAGCTAGATCTGAAATACAGCTAGACATGATAACATATACAGGGCTCCATGCATTTACCCACACACATGCAGGGCTGGACGTTTTCCTGAGTTACTGAGACACAGAGTTTTAACTGAGATTTACTGGGATACTGAGGGGTGCACTCCTGAACAACTGAAATACTGTTTACCAAAACTAACACCAGGAAGTGGACACATGTTTTTGGGGCAGTGGACCATGGGGTGAGCACAGGAATGCAGGAAGTGTGAGCAAATGCAGTCAGTATACTCAATGTACATTATGTACAAAAATGAACTATATAACTTGAGGGCAGGTCTGGGAGGGGAAGACAGGAGAGAACAAAGGAAAGGGGGCACTGTGTCACAACCTGACGCATGGAATTGTCACCCATTGTACAACTATTTAAAATAAAAGCAATGATTGAAAGAAATCACTAAATCACTAATTAAAAACAATCTAGGTCTTTTTAAAAAAGTACATCTTGGCCACGAACAAGTCGGAAGGGTTCTTCCTGGAGTCCCCAGAGGCTAAGTACCCCCCCCCCCCCCAGCCCACAGCAGGTCGAGTGGACGGCTGGGGTTACCGGGAGAGTCAGAGGCAGGGGTCTCTCTGGCCTGGCAAGTGAAGGCTTCAGTTCATCAAATGAGTTTATGAATGAGTGTGTGAGTGGATGAATGAATGTAACCGACTTCAGTCTCTCCCCAACGGCAGGAAGGAGCATACTTCAGCTTTGGTAGGAAATCTACTCTTATGAGGACAAAGCAGGAAAGTCTTGTCCACTATGCAAAGTAACTCTGCTCACGAGGAAATGTTTCCTTACTAGAAAATTCTAGAACTTCCATAGAAAAATCTTACATGATCAAGATTCTCTGCTATAGTCTTTAAAATATGTTCCCAATTATTCAGCAAAACTCAAGTCTCGCGTCTTGTGTCTGGTTAACGACTCAGGCTGAACTATGGCAGGAGCAGTTTTGTGTGAAAGTTGACAAGGTCAGCAAACAAAGCTTAACTGAGGAGCTTTCAGGAGAAACCTCCAGCTCCAGCAGCACCAAAGGCACAGTTCACAGATGCTCACAAAGCACAAGCATGGCTGCCTGCAACAGTCTAAAGAAAGTTCTAGCGATTGTCGAATCTGCTATGAAACAGATGGTCTTTTCTGGGAGGAAGCAAGCACAGAAAAATGAACTTTTTGCTAACAAATGTAAACGAGATCAGATGATCATTTTAAAGTTGCTTTTTAAATTTTCTGTGCTAGTCCTGAGTCTTGAACGCAGGGCCTGGATGCTGTCCCTGAGCCTCTTTGTGCTCAAAGCCAGCGCTCTACCACTTGAGCCACAGCGCCACTTCCAGCTTTTTCTGAGTAGTTTACTAGAGGTAAGAGTCTCATGGACTTTTCCTGCCCAGGGTTGCCTTGAATTGAGATCCTCAGACCTCAGCCTCCCGAGCAGCTAGGATTACAGGTGTGAGCCGCCAGTGCCTGGCTAGAGTTGCTTTTTGGAAGTTCACTAATGCACTTTGGTTCAAGCGGCCAGAATGCAGGAGGCTGAGTTAGCATGGGCCGTGGTGGACAGCAAGACAGGCACATGCTCAAGGTAGACGGGAACATCTGGAAAAGCCCTCCCCCAAATCTTCCCCTACAATACACCAGCAACTCTAACCACAGGGCCTCAACTTCCACCTGCCCTGAGACACAAGAGAGATCACCAGAAGGCTTGAAGTCACGCAGCTAGTGACGGGCCCCAGGCCAGGATTCTGGAAAAGGGATCTGTGGCTTGGGACATCCTCCCAAGTCAGGCAGCTTGCAGAAGGGCAGAGAAGAATCCCTGATAAGAGAGAGGGCAAAT